TGCTTCTGGATTAAACTTCAAACCATAAACTAGTGAGCTGGGATTCACTGGGGCATCTCTGCAGACAGACGCTGTTAAGAAGTTAGCATCAGCCCATCTTACATACAGTAGAGTTAAAATAATAAAAAAGTACCATCATTGGCTTTAGTTTTTAGTTCAACGCTTTCACAGTAAATCACATTGTTTTATATGATAATTCAACTTAAAAAAACCAAACCTAACTATGCAAATTAACCCTCTGAACCACAAAGGATTCATGATACATGTTGTCTTTATTTTAAAAAATGTCAAAATTATAAAGTTTATCACAACAATCCCTGTGATCAAACTGCTCGTCTGCTATCCCAGTGGGAGACTTATCGAAGCTAAAAATCCTTTTTTTTTCTTTTTTCTTTTAATACATATCTCATCTCTTTGCTCTAATCAGATTCTTTAAAAAACTAAAAATATTGCCCTCCTTACTGTAACTGAGAAACTCCCCGTGGCTCGTTTTTCACTGCAACATAAAGTCCTGCTCATTCATAGAAACAGAACAACCATGAACAAGGAGAGAGACCTCAGAAATGTCTTCTGTCAGTTGGACACAGTTAGAATGACACAAATGAAGGGGGAAAAAAAGAAAATACTGAAGTTGTATTTCTTAGCTTTTGTATTTTACAAAAAATTCAAATGCTGGAATTTAACATGTCCAACATTTTTCTCCACCAGCGTTAACAACACTGGAAAAACATGGAGGCTCCACATACTATAGATATTTACCTATTTACATTTTAAATTAGTTTCCATGCTTGTCTCCTCTCTGCTCTGTGTAAACACTGCCTGCAGTTCAGTCAAAAAATCCTTAAATTTTTATCGTCTATCTGTCACAGGTGAGTCACTAACAGCTTCAAGATTGTGCAGAAAGCAGATTTTTTTGTGTTTTTTTCAGAATTTTGTTAATACAAATGATTTAACGTTGGCAATTTTTTTTAGATGGCACATGAAGAAAAATGCGATTTTGATGAAATAATATGATTTTAAGCATTGATTCGGTTAAGTTTTCCAATAGACGACACGCCGAAATGAAAGTTAGAAATCAAATGCTTGTTTTTGTTTTTAGGGTTTCTTGCTCTGATAAATTGTGCCTTCAAACATGCTAGAAAGTTAGAAGTTGACACAATGCATGACTGCAAAAAGGAGAAAGTATATTTAAATTAGATTTACTAATTTCTGGTTCTGAACATGTCCAAACTTTCCCCCATCAGAATCAGAATCAGAAATGCTTTATTGATCCCTGAGGGGAAGTTGCTTATGTTGAAGTTGCATACGCATAAAATGTGAAATGTGCATTGCTCTAAGAAAACTAAAAATGTACGTGTACAGTGTAGTAAATAGTAATGGAGTTATGTCTGTGTTATTGAAAAGAGAAGTAGTTTTTTGCACACTATCGCACAGTAACCCCTTATTGTAGTAATTGCCCATAAGCTGCATTTACCAAAAGGAAATTACTGATCAGCAAACTCTAGAATATGAATTCAATTAAAGTTTGCATCATCCAAGAGTTTTATCTCTTTCCAGGGAGACGTGTGTCTTTCGTGGAACAGATAAATGTTTCTACATCCTTACTGCTATTATTGCTTCACAGTATCGCTGTCACATGTTCAGCCCATCATGTTCTCTGGAAACCAGCCTCCTACTGGGGCATGTGGCTGGAAGTGGAGCAGCGACTTGACCTTTCGTCAGGAGGGTCATGTGTTTGGGTCAGGTGGGTGTACATGAGATACTGGAGCTGCTCGCGGCCTCTCGTGCTCGTTCTTTCAGCCCGGCTGGTACATGATTACAGGGGAAGGGAGGTTTGGTTGGTGTTGCTGGGGGCAGCAAAGGCAACAGGGTTCAAGAGAAAGAGTTTGGCTGCTTTAATTAGTCACAAATGTGGCTGCTTGATCCAATTCAGAGTAAATTTGGATGGATGCTGATTCTAAATTAAATTTTAAAGGTGTTATGTGTGAGTGCAGTAACAAATTAGCGAGGGGCTGTTTTATAATTCTTGTCAAAAGAAATAAGGAAATAAACAAAAGGGGCTTTTACGTTTGCTTTGCTCACATATCCGAGATCGATTCTTGCAGTTTGTGTCTTACCAGTGAAACATGTTTAGTTTAACCTTCTGCTAGTAAGACTCTGAGAAAAAGGTGAATGTTGTGTGAAACCCATCTGCACTGGAATGCACTTTTTAAAGTGTTTTCTGGCGAATTATCAGAAAACAGAAACACATCCAGGGTACGAATGATTGTTTCTATGACACTTATGCCATTAAACTGCTGCGATTTTATTCTTCAAACTATGATACATCCCATAATATTGATACTCAAAGTTGGTTATAGAACAAGGGAACCAAAACCAGATTTAGTGTTCAGACTGTGACACCTGGATGGATGTAAAACTGATCTGGTTGCAGTTTTTTTTTTACCAGAACTCAAATGTGTTTTTCCTCCTAAAATGTCATGTGTCTATCTGCTGTACTGATGAAGTTCTGAGGCTCAGAAATGATGGAGAAAGTCCATTAAAAAGTGATAAATGTGGACCCTCCTCTATGGACTTCAAGAGCCTGTAACACTGGAAATATTTGTAGTATGAAGGTAAAACTCTGCTATATTAAATAAACTAAAGTTATTGTAGATAAAGAATCAGCTGGTTGTGAGGAGGTCAAAGGATATTTTTTCCACATTGCTTGATTTATATGAAATGGCCATGCTGACACATGGATGCTTCAATATTAATAATGTCATAATGGTACATATAATAGAATATCAGTCAGAAGAACCAAACTAGGACCTTTACATTAATGATTAACATTTTCGTTGCTTAAGTTTTTACTAAGTAAGTAGGGTTTTCGAAGCAGTAGTGGAGTATTTTCATGTTGCTATGTTGGTACTTCTTTCACCACTGTTGGTGTCTTTGGAGACTTTGGCTATTTGCATTACTTTAAGTTTTGTTTTATGGGTCTGCACGCACACTTTAGGGTTAATGAAAACCAACCCATCAATGCTTAGTACAGCAGCAGGTATTATTTCATCACCTGCAATGTTTCAGCTTCACAAAAAGGCCTGATGAAGGAACCAGCATGTAGTGGAACAGAAAGTGTCTCAGAGAGGAAGCATGACTTTGGCTGCCTCTGCTCTTATCTATTTATCGCACATGAGCTACACATGAGCCTGTCATAGCTGTTTTATTTGAAGCTTAAATGGGAGATGATGTTTGGGAACCCCCCTCGCTGGAGGGGAAAGTTTCATACCTCACCAGGTGGCCCAGAATTCCCAGCAGTGCTGCAGCATGGAAAACACTTTCACATCCCTATTCCCATCTCGCACCTGTCCGCTCAGTCATCTGGCCAGTGTGATTGCAGGCTTCTTATTTTAGACGATGACATTTTGCATTGGACCGACTTTTTTACTCGCACTGAATTTTGTCAGTGACCCTCAATGAACCAAGTACAAATAAACAATGCAAGTCAGATGTTGATCCTATTTTTAATGCACTGTTATATTGTGTCAGCGATTACAAGGTGACCATCAGTATGTACGGCGAGTCAAGTCTCCTCATTTCTACAGCAGGTTGAACAAAGTGCTGCATAAAGGTTCAGTTTTCACGGCAGATGTTCTCAGACTCTTGCAGTGCACTATAGTTCTTCCAGATTATAGAGTGAGAGGAGAGACTTTATTTTGAACTTCATTTTGGAGATAATCTACATTCTCCATATTTGACTGTCATCCAGAATTCAGAGAGCAGTACTCACTGCTGGACAGGGAGAGAAAACCAACCCATTGTGTTTGGAGCTGACAGCATATAAAGATGCTTGAACCCTCCAAGACGTCACCCACAAGTTTCCTGCAGAGTATTTTATTTTGTCTTTATCTTGGCAGCACCTGGATCTTTTCTAGCTTCTGGATAATCCAAAAGTCAGCAAAGAGGTGGAGCTCAGATGAGACCACCAGTCACTGAAAGCAGCTTTTAATTACAGAGTTTAAATTAGGGATGTCCCAGTCAAATTTTTTATTTTTTTTCCCCAAATTCAATTCGAGTGACCTAATATTTAATATCTAATACTGAGTCCCATTCCGATGTTGGCTTAATTTTTCATTCCCAGGTGTTGACAGGACATTTTGGTGCAGACCAGCCGGCCACAATCTATCACCAATGCCCTGAATTTGTATGCCAACTGTACTCGCTGATAAAAGTATTAACACTGTGTAAGAAGTTGGCGGGAATCCACGAAGATAAACACATAATAAATATCTTCAAAAACTGGTGCTGCAAAATAGTATACTACGATGACTCCTAAAACAAGCAGGTTAACAACTGAAATCATACTTTACTGTCTTTAGACTGTAGGTTTTTTTGATTGCAAAATAATTTTATGTGTAATTTATGGTACAATTCCAACAGGATCAAAATATTATTTGTCTCTTGCCGTTAACTACATAAATTTTCTGAGGTCTCGTGGAGCTCACAGGACAAAATTACTGAATTTTCTCCAGCAAAAAAAGTGAAGTCACGTTGGTTGTGATTCAGACAAGAATCGAATCAAAGTGTGGGAAAGTGTAACTGAATTTTACAAACTCAATACATGCTTTTGGTGTTAAGTTAGTTGATAATTGGTTTTAAAATATACTGGTTATCTGAGCTTGGCAGATAAAGCTGAATGTCATCAGCATAGAGGTGATAGTAGCACACAGGGCTGAACAGTTTATCAGAGTTCAATTAAAATCAGGATCGGAAATGACGTACCTTGTCTGAATCAGGGTTTAAACGGTTGCATCAGTGGTTTTACAGATTAACATTGTCCTTCTTTCACCTCCTATTACACAAATTTAATCGCAATATCAGTCGTTAAAGTTGCATTTTCATAGGTCAACCATCCATCTAACTGCTTCCATTTTCAAGATGTTTGTTGGCAGCATACGCTCTCAGGATGACTGTTCTTAAATCTGACTAACTTTGCTTCTGTTTTGGTGTCTCTGTAGTTGGGAGATCATTGATTCAGGAGCAGATGGCCGCTCTGGGGCTGGACTTCAGCTCAGCGACTCCCTCAAACTCTTCCTTCAGGAGACGTCGGCTTTCAAACAGCAAAATCCCGGCAAGGTGAAGCAGCGACTCCAGACAAATCCGAGTTAGGCGCATGTTTGTTTTTTAAGGTTTTCTGGAAGTATTTGTGCCTGGTTTCACCTCTTGATGGGACTTAACATGGTGGAGCAGGTTCATGAAGTACTGCCATGTCTTTCTAACCCTCTGAACTCACAAATCACACTGAGGGGTTTGAAAGGCAAAATTTTGAACATTTGTCAGAGGCAGAACATTGTTTAAAAGACGTTAAAGTTAAAAATTAAAGAATTGTCAGATTTTCAACTTTTTTATGATCTTTCAACTATGGAAGCACAGTTGTGTTGGGAGAATTAACCATTTTATCAAAATCACTTCATTCTACATGTCTAACTTTAAAAAAAAATCACCACAAAAAAGCTAATACCTGAACCAGATACTGTAAATAACAATACATTCTGCGTTCCTCATCGTAATCATGAAGCCATTAGAGATTCAGCTACGATCAGCAGTCTAGTGACAGAAATTCAGGGATTCATTTTGTCTGACCTGAGATGAACTTCAGGCTATGTTTAGACAAACAGGGGAGAAAAGTATGGAAACAAAAATAGACATTTATACTATGTACAGCCCTCTGTTTTTGGATGGTTGTGTTATTTACATAGGATTTTATTGCAAAAAAGTGAGTCCACAGTGAGGAAAAATGTGACAGGAGCAAAATATGCACAGAAGCTACCTGGAGTTCAGCAGTTTAGTAGCTTATAAGCAGGAAAATACAGTCAAAATAAGCGTTTTACTGGAAGTAACAGTAGTCCTAAAGTAGTTTATTTGCTATATTGTCTATAATGTTATTTTTATTTCTGTTGATTTAAATATGCTACATAAGTAACGGACACTTAAAGTACATGTTTGTGTCATTTGACAATCGAGATCAGTTATAAGATAATGTAGTAACTGTCAGTCTGCCATTCAACTGCATCCAGGAGGCACTTAGCTTGAACAGTAACAGATATGTCAAAGCAAGAAAACAAATGTGTGTGTTTTCCAAAAAACCCCAAAAAGTCGCACTTATTCTATACTACGGCTGCACAATTTATTGTTTTGGCATCGACTCTGCGATGTGAAATGAAAACTAACTCAAGCACATCATGCAACAAGTTTTTCTTTTGCTGCTTGATACAAAAATCTGAAACCGAAAACAATAACTCACATAGTTCTTATTTACCACGACTAATGTACATGACAAATCTCATAAAACATAATTTGTTGTCTTCTTGGGTTCTCGGATACACCAAGTTTTTAAAACTTTACTTGAAAGACAGAGAGTTTGTTGCACGTTTTGCATGTGCGCAGCAACATGAGCGAGAAACAGGAGAGAAACAGTGAAAAGGAACATTTGGTAGCAAAAAGTATGGAAATATTTCTGCGACAGAAAGGATGATGTTGACCACAAACAGAGACTGTCTGTGAGAAAAAGTCCAAATGCCTTTTTTCAGCTTTTTAATAGTTATTTTGAATTTCTCTGTAGTTCTCAACAAAACCACCCCAATCACTGCAGATGATTCATTTTTTCCAAATAGAGTTTTTAAATCATCAAGTGGTAAAACTTGCTGTATTTTTAATGTTGCAGAAAAAGTTAATATCACAATGTTTTCTTTTTCCCAAGTCATGCAGCCCTACTTTATTCTGTAACTGATGGTAGAAAATCCTTCTTTTCTGGTCTAGTTCTGCCTGCTGGTTTGCAGTTTGTGCACTTTCTTTGCCGTCATAGGACGCTACATTCCAGGGATTGTTATCTCATATGTCCTCGGTGAGTCTAAAAAAGTTCTGCACATTAAAATGACATTTTAATAACTGGAAGAACATTATAGTCATGGAGTCATGACTTGTAGTGTGTCTGCTGTGTTAATGGATTTACTGGAAACCAGTGCTCATTCTCTGTGTTGCTGTCTGTGTGAAGTGCTGGGCGTCTTCCTGTGGCCTCTGATTTCATCTCATGAGGTCAGTTTGTGGCTGGAGCCAGTTCTGCAGAAGCTGGACTTTGGCATTGGCGAGTTTTTCCAGAAAATCAAAGACAACCACAGTAAATATTATTCAGTATACAACATATATATGCACAATACTGTACTAGACCAATATGTCAGTGTGTTATGTTCAATGTTTTAACTTCTTCTGCATTGTTGGTGCAAAAAGGCTGAATAAGCCTCCATGTCTGGTCTCAATAAGGTCGGTTGTTTGCAAGTTGTAACATGCTGCATTGTTTTGAACACAAAACCCACTGAAGCACATGTTGGGTGTAACCATGCAGTATTTACAGTAGAAAACATTTTAAAGATGTCCTTTTATGAACCATGTCGATGGATCTGCTAAGTCCTGTCTATTTTTTTTATTTATATCCATTTTTTTAGGAAAACTTCAGTGAGTTTATGGATAAACATACAGCTTCTTTTTTTACGCTTTAATCCAACACAGAGAAAAAAGGAAATAAACTGAGTCTCCTCCATGTTTTCTTCCTTCCAGAGAAGAGACTCCTGCAGGCTCAGACTGAGAAAGAAGGCATCGAGTCGGACCTTTCATCCATGTTTCCCAAGGTAGGCTAATCGTCTTCATCTCACTCTAATCAAGCCTCTGGTGACTGACAGGCTCCAGTGGTAGCTAATGAAATTCACATGCACATAAGTTTGAGTCATCATTTTCTAAAGTGGATGTAATGCAGATGGATGAGTCAGAGTTCGATCACAGCTAAGTGAACTAATTCTGGGAAAGTATAAAGCTCTGACAAAATCCTGCAACAATAAAAACCATACACATTTACAAACTAAGTGGTCAGCATTTATGGATCGGAAAGATGCATCTGCCTTGTGTTTGAGAATGACTTGTGACATGACTTGGACTTGCTCTTTTCACCAGTTAAGTATTACAAGACTCCACACTAACGTTTCTACTTAATTTACTGATATTCCCTGAACGTTTCACATGCAGGCTGCAGTAAATACTAGTCAGGCGGCTGCAGCACAGTTAGTTTGAGAGTTTTCTATGAGTTGAGCTCATGTTAAATGTGAAACCACAATCGAGTATTTATTTGTAAGACCCCCAAAGTCATGTTTGTGATTATTAATGGTTTCATTTTTCAGCCCTCGCGCTGCATTAACTGTTGTGATTGAATGTAGTACAGTTTCTTCTTCACCAGTTCAGTTGGTGTCTTCCTACAACCTGTGATTTCATCATCAGGGGTATCTGAGTCGGACTTCTTTCTTCTCATTTTGTTTTTTTAAATAATCAGCCATGAAGCACTTCCTTGATGACAAACACTTAAATGGACTATCACATCAGGCCAGAATTAGTCTGACTTAGTCAGACCAGTCTGAAACAGAGCTGTGTAGAACGGTCTGATTACACCACATTATTGTTCTGCTACAGGGGATAAAGGAAAGATAATAAGTTTACTGTCACAGAGGAGGAAAAAGAAACCAAAAAATATTCCCATTTAAGAAGCTGCAATAAGAGAAATTAGACTGTTTTTTTTGCAAAAGTACCGAAACCGATTAATTGATTACCGAAGCAGGTGTCGATTTATTTAAAATTTGCCAGCTAAATTAATATTTGAATAATCATTGCAGCTCTCATCTCTATGTGTTTCCTTCCTGCAGCTCGACTCTGCAGTGTGTAAAGAAATGTCAGTATCGGACACAGAGGTGTCGGACATGACGTGGACAGACAATGGCACTTTCAACCTGTCAGAAGGAAACACACCACAGACGGAGAACTCAGAGGGTATGTTCACAAACACCATGTCTGACTGAACAGCTGCAAATAAACCCAGCATCCCTTTAAAATCAACCAAATCTGCAAAAGGTTCTCCCCCAACCTCCTCACAATCAGCTGATTCTTTATCTACAGTAACTTTGTTTAATGAAGCAGAGTTTTATCTTCATACTGTGAGTATTTTCAGACTTGCAGGCCCTTGAAGTCCATAGAGGAGGATCCACATTTCACACATTTTAATGGACTTTTTTCATCATTTCTGAGCCTCAGAACTTCATCAGTACAGCAGATAGACGCATGACATTTTAGGATAAAAAACACATTTGATTTCTAATAAAAACTGCAACCAGATCAGTTTTACATGCATCCAGGTTTCACAGTCTAAAGACTTAATCTGGTTTGCTCTTTTTCTCTATAAAAAGGTTTGAGCGTCAATATTAAGGGATGTATCCTTGTTAGTTAGTAGTAGTATCATAGCAGCAGTTTAATTTCTGTCACACAGACTCATAGAAGCAATCATTGGTACCCTGGATGTGTTTCTGTTTTCTGATAATTCACCAGAGAAAACTTTAAAAAGTGCATTCTGGGTAAACTTTCAAGGCTCATATCAGCATGTGTGATGGTGGTTGGTCAGAACAAGTTCTAGACCAGGGGTCGGCAACCCGCAGCTCTTTCGTACCTCTGCTGCGGCTCCTTGTCGCTTTGGAAAATAAATAATAAGTATTTTAATTTAAATGTATTTTTTTAGCTCGTTAGTTTTTAAAATGTAATTCTAAGTTTGAAGATTTTTGTGAACTTGCTCAAAATATGCGTCATAACCGCTGATGTGCGACACTCGCCAGCATGTGCAGTGGTGCCACCTTGATGACATTCTCGCTGAATCTGGCAACTTTCCAAATTTNGGTGGTTGGTCAGAACAAGTTCTAGACCAGGGGTCGGCAACCCGCAGCTCTTTCGTACCTCTGCTGCGGCTCCTTGTCGCTTTGGAAAATAAATAGCAAGTATTTTAATTTAAATGTTTTTTTTTTAGCTCGTTAGTTTTTAAAATGTAATTCTAAATTTGAAGATTTTTGTGAACTTGCTCAAAATATGCGTCATAACCGCTGATGTGCGACACTCGCCGGCATGTGCAGTGGTGCCACCTTGATGACGTTCTCGCTGAATCTGGCAACTTTCCAAATTTTTTATTTTTTTTTTGGCTAAAGCGACTAGCAATAAATCTAGCGACTCTTTCTGGTGTTATTGGAGACTTTTCTGGTGTTTTGGAGACTCTGACGTGAAAACATGTAACGTTTGCAGTTACTGTCCCCAACGAGCAGCGGTGCCGCCGTGAGCTCCTCCCGTCCCAAAGCGCTCACAGGCAGTCAGGAGTCTGGTCAGCAGTCCAGCTGCAGGCAGCAGGACAACAGGACAGCATTTTTAGTTTGCTGCAGGTGGATAATTTAAGATCGGCTTTTTATTTCATAAATACAAGGGTAATTCAAATAGATATTTAGTATTTTATTTAAAGGTAACCTTCAACCCAGCGTCTTTTTGTTGTTGTTGGAGTTAAAAATGTTTTTGTTGCAGAAATAAAATTTAGTTTTCTCTGTAGCAGTTCATTGATTTCATAAATGCAACACACACGTTTTTTTTTTATAAATACCATGAAGGTAAAAACGATATATGCAGTGTTATCTTAGTTTTAGATTTCAAAGAGGTTTTGTGGCTCCCAGTGTTTTCTTTTCCATGGGAAACAAGTCCAAATGGCTCTTTGAGTGTTTAAGGTTGCCGACCCCTTTTCTAGACAATGAAAAATTAATTTAACAAAAAATATATTTAAAAACAAAGCTGAGCCCTGATAGTTCCTGCAGCATCATTTTCTGCCCCACAGAAAAGACAAGTGTTGATACAAACATTTACACATCATCATCATCATCATCATCACTGTTGTTCAGAACAAACTGACAGAACAACAACTGAGCACTATTTCTGTGTGTCTTCTTGTAAAAAGTTTGAGCTTCCAGTTGCTGTTTCATAAT